CAAAATATGGTTTTTCCTTGAAAATAGTTTTAAAAAATTCACATTTTTTATCCCTCAATATTTATAGTATTATGTGGTTTTGGAGTTCAAACTTTACATGAAAATAAAATGGGAAAATCAGTACAAAATTTATTTTTAAAATGCATACCCGACATTTTAACATTTAGGTAAAATTATATGTGTATACGTTATTATTTTAATATTTTCTTTAATTTATTTATTTTTGGGCTTTTATTTGATTATTTAATTAAGTATCTGTGATGATACCAGACAATTCTTACTTAAAATGAAACTTTTACGGACTAAGTGTTCCAGAATAATTATTGAATTTTCATTTCTATTGAAAAGCTCAATTAATAGTCTCTGTTTATACATCACAGCTATATCTTTTTCCACAATGTTTCTCTTATAGTTAGGTATATCCATAGCATTCTGAAGGGTTATAAATTCATAAAGACTCAAATACTTTGTTAATTGGCATTTCTAATTTTTTTTTAATCCTTTTTCTTTTCAATTTTGAAGCAACTCTATATTAATATGCTTCACACAATTATTATTTATAACACATGCTTATCCATGATAACATAAATCTATCTCATCTAATGGCATTGATTAAAAAAAAAATAATAAAAAAGTTCTTTCATTTATTCATCAAATTATTTCATTTTAAAAATTATAAAAAAATAAATTAACTCTGGAATAAGCATATATATTATTTTTATTTAATTTAAAGGTGAACTATTTAATATTTCATCCAAATAAAACAATCATACACTCATATAATTCAATTATATCTCCAGTCATTGGTATAATTGAGAATATTAAATATACCATCAGATTTTATATTTTGGTAATTATTTAGATGAGGACCGCACATATTACGCGTGGTTCACAATCATTTCGGTCACACTTGTTCATGAAACACCGAAAACAGTCTTTTGGACAATCCCAGATGCATTTGGCACTCCATGAACAAGTATGACCAAAGTGATTGTGAACAATGTATAACCCTTGCGGTCCTCATCTAAGTAATTATCATATTTTAAAATAATTAATCCATTTCCTTAGTCATGGGATCAAAACTAAAACTTTATATTCGATCCAAGATATAAATATCATACCAGTGACTTTAATGCAGAGTTTTAAACTTTTTTGATAAACTTAACTGTTACCATCTTAGATATAAATTAACACAGTCTATAGTCACTATTCTGACAGTAAGCAAATCACACCAATTAATTTGCTAAAAAAAACAACAAATTAAAAAAAATATTGGGAAGAAAACTATACAATATTACAGCATTATTTAAGTAAATTAATTAATTATTGAGGAGAAAAACAAATGTTGTTTGACCTTTTATTAAGCTCAAAAAGTTTTATTTACTTTTATTTTTTTTAGTTTAACATGGTACTGTATGAATGAAATTTACAGCTGCACTGTTCATTATATCATTCACCTTTTTTCATTATATTTTCTTGAAAAGCAGCATAGTAAATTATTGAAATATATACACATATATTTATGTACAACCAACTCAATATATATGCTTAGATTATATAGTACATAATATATTATTTACAATATTATGTTCAAAAGTAATACTTTTTTATAATATTTTTTTTAATATTATTTGGATATTAAATAAAGTATTAATATCTTTATTTGCAATACAATTTTAAATATATTAGTTTATTAATATTTTTTGGATGTGCAGTAAGGTGGTATTAATTAGTTGTTCTCTCTTTCTCTCACTTCAACATATCCACACGTGTGTGTAAACACACACACTACAAAAAATAAAATAAAAATACACACACATTGCATTTCTTAATTTCTTTCTCAAACGTTTTTTCATTAACTATCATATCATTTTTTCGAAGTATTCCATGTATGTACTTCCTCAACTCATCCACATCCAAAAAATATCCTAACAAAAATAATTTTGTATGATTTTTCTTAATAAAAGATAATTTTTTTTTTAAACTTTATTATATTAAATGAGTGAGCAGGAAATTGAGGAAGACTTTAATCATTAATTTAACACTGATTTTGCATTACTAATTTAAAAAATTGAAATATTTCACTTTTTACTTCTGTGATCCAATAAATTGCAAAAAAAAAAAAAAAAATAGATGAGGGAGTATACCCAGTTAATGCATTTTTTAACATTGATTGTGTTACTTTATTATTATAATTATGTTTACTTCAAATAACAATTCAAATTGGTTGAGATAAGTTCAATTCCTGTCATAAAACTTTTATTCTACTAGTTATATATTTATCAAGATAAATTAATTGCCCTTATTAACTGTAATTGGCTTGAAACATTATACAAAAAATAAGTAGTATGATTTTGAATGTTAGTTAGGATAACCATCAACACTTACATAAATGTATTAAGCCTGTTTATTTACTTTCTTTTAAAATCTTTAAAAAATATATTTAAATTTAACATCTATTTCATTGCAACGTTGCATTAAAGTAATAATGAAGTATTATATGGTGAAGATAAAATTCATATTTTTATTACTTAAAAAAACTAATGTCAGATTAAAACTGAAATTTTGTATAGATTTAAGAAAAATAAACAAAAAGATAATAAACAAATGGTAATCTGTAATCTTAAATTGAAGAAATGACAAAATGGTTGCAGTCTTCTCTTGGAAAATAGTGTTTTAATGATATAAACTATGGATCAATATAAATACTATTGGTACAATTGAATTATAATAATTTTTAATTTACAAATAATTTTTTACTATATTTTAAGAAGTTACAGACAAATATTTAACGATTTCAAAATTGATTCAATTCCATTATTCTTACTGATACAAAAAAACATTATAATTTATGTAACCATTTTTATGTTATAACATATAAGATAAACAATTAAAGCTGCTGTATTTTAACATGAACAATATATTTTTTATATATGTTTTCTAATATTAATCTCAACCATTTATTTATTTTTTTTTAAAGAAAAAATTAAACATTTTTTGCTAGGATTTAAAAAATCAATGTTATAATGCTGGACCTGTGAATAGCAATATAAGTTTCTTTGATACTTCATATATAAGTGGTCAACATCAAATTTAAAATATAGAATAATTAGATATTAAACCTGTAACTCCCTCATCTAATTGAAATATCTAGTGATAACAGTGTATCCATATTATGAACCTCATTCTCACTTAGTACAAAGATAAATAGAGCCATAAGAAATTTAAACGAGTTAGTCAATTGCATAATAATATTAAAATACAATAGAATATAGTTTACTGTGTAAGACAATTAGTTGTGTATATCATCTTAGTATTATTGTTTTTATTTTCTAGTATTATTGTAGCAAGATTGTCTCAAAAAATAATTATGAAATAAAAGACACTCCAAACCAATAAATATGCACTGAAGTTCCTCCCTCATTTAAGCTAAAAAAATTAATTATGTTTCAGAACTTCGTATGAATAATTTTATTCAGGAAAAAGGTCTTATTAAGTATATAGAATGTGCCACTTATTGTTATTTATATTATTTTAAAACTATCAGTCAAGTACAATATACATTTACATACGTATGTGTTTGTTTTTTTTTTTGTTTTTTTCATTTTGTAATCATAAGCTTTGCTTGAGAATCAATCTACTAAAAAGCTTATATAGGACACCTCTTTGTAATACTTTTGATTGAAAGAACTAAATTACATATAGATTTGATGTTATGAAAAATGGATTAACTGAATTAACTTTGTTACTCAATTGCTTATGTCAATATTTCAATAGTATATGGAATTAGTATATAAAAAATGTAGTTTTCTTCTATGCAAATCACCCAAATAGTGGAAGCCATGAATATTAATGAAATAATATTGTTTAGGTAGTTATCAATTATTTCCATAAAATAATAATTATAAAATGGAAGAAAAATAAACTAAAATACAAGTTATTTTGCTATAGTAAGTTATAATTGTATTAGAATTTTTTTTTATTATTTTCAATGTAATCAAAAGTATACTATCAATGGTTTACTGTACTGTGAAAAAAATAAATATGTTTGTAAGTAGTGAATGTGTGTGGGTAATTGTGATAAATTGTGTTTATATTCGTCTGTGTACAGGGTGATTCTTCTTAAAATTCCCATAAATAAATTATCACTAGTGCACATTAAAATTAATCACTTCCCCATAACATTTTCAAAATAAAATTGATTTATTTTAAAGTTAAGAGTTATGTAAAATGAATCAACTTCTGTGTGGGTGTGTATGTTTACGTCTTTGAGTGTGTGTCTTTGTGTATTTTGTCATAAATAAAATTCATTATTCAAAATGACCAATGTATATAAAAAGTCATCCAATGATATAAAATTGACATATTTATCTTCAAATTTAGTTACATTTTCTAAAGAGTGGAAAATTAGATTAGTTTTATTTCATCACTTTCATTCTACATATGCATTTTAAATTAAAAGTTAAAACCCAAATACCCAATACAGTTTTTTTTTTTCAAATGTCTTCCAAATATTGTAAAAATAAACAGTGTATTCTTACTTAAATCAAAACCAATAACTTCCAATAGTACATGCATGGAGCATGAAATATTTACATGATTACATTCTGCAAGTTGTATTTATATAATCACATATGACATATTTTGACACAAAATTCAATATAAAAAAAAACGCTTTTTTCTTTTTATTCCATACAAGTGCTTTTTCACATTTTTAGCATTTTCATCTCTATGGAAAGCTAAACTTCAGGTCCATTACCATTTTCAATTGTACAAAACAAAGTTAATTTATTGAGGAAAAAAAAATAATAAAAAATACAGTTTAGTTTTATTTCCATAATATTTATTTGTGGTTAGTCATTTTCCTGAAGAAAAGCTGATCAAAGAGAATAAAGATCTCAACTTTCAAACATACTCAACATTTAATTCTTATAAGAAAAAGCTGTATAATGGTCAAATGTTAAAAAAAAATTAAATTATAAAAAAATTATAAAAATTCTTCATTTTCCTAATCCAAACTTCATAAATATTAGTTCTTTTCCTTTTGAAAGAATGTGGTCCACAGAATTATCACCTGCAGTCATTTCAGATAACTTTTGCATCAAGTTAGGTGCTAACGATTCTGTTGCAGGAGCTGCATTAGGTTGTTGTTTAGTTTCTATAGAAGGTGGAAGCTGAACTACTGGGTTAGGAGGTGCTTGATATTTCCGTGCAGTTGATACATGTGAAGGAGCGTGAGCCGTTTCTTTTTCCACCCTACCATCCTAATAGTAAGAAAAAAAGGATGTTAGTTCATGTATACACAAGTATTAATAAATTTATAAAGGTGTTTAAAAAATTAATAAATATCATAATATATTTTTAAATTACATGTATACATACAGTAACAATAATAAGCATTACATATTTATTTTTTAATTTATAACTTATTTTATTCAATCCAATGAAATCATTAATTTTTAATAATTTAATCACTTATATTAGGATTTTATCAAAACCATATGGAAAAAATTAATAAAAGCATTTATAATATCTTAAGTGCCTATTAAAATGAACAATCATACTGAATAAAATATGAACTAAATTTGTAAACACATCAACAGTTTTTATATGTTTTACATGGAAATTAAATGCATTTAATTTAATGATTAGTTAATCAATTATATGCACATAAGTTCATAAAATAAATGACAGGAATGGTGATAATGGATAACATTACAATATTGTGCATTTACATGTATTGGAAGCTAAATATACTAAAATATTATTAATTTCAGGATGACCGAACGACCCAAGTTGGTTTGTAAATTTTATGATCGAATGTTTATTTATGAGGGAGATCTATTCGATCACATGAAAGCCCATGGAATGCAAAATTTCATAATTGGACGAGTAATGGTGGAAGGGGGACACAGAGGACACATATGTGAAGTTTGTGATGTGGTATTTGTCACAATCAGGGGGCTAAACAGGCACTTGAACGTTCATAGAACTAAGGTTCCATCAGGTAACATATCGTATTTAATACATATAGAACATTAAACTGTATAGGACGGTTATGTTTTGAGTCAGTTATGTTCATGACATCTTTGTGTTTCAGATAAGTAAAAAAAGTTTGAATGATTGAGTATTTTATCAAGAAGTGGGATACTCGTTATCAATTTAACAGGTTAATATTTTGAAGTGCTAACAATACTTTTTTAATAAATTTAATTACAATTGTTCAAAGCTCCTTTAATCAAGTTTTTTTGTTGTTTTTTTAGGGCATACAATTTCAAGGTCATCAATTAATTTGTAAATTAATTTGTTTATCTCTGAATTTTTATGACATTTTAAATTTTATTTAACAAATTGTTTGATTTCAGAAAATCTAACACTAATTTTATTGTGTCTTTTTTTCAAACATTTTTTAGAATGTTTGATATTGGGGGGGTGTAAGTCCTGAACTGGCTTTTCATATGTAAAAAGAACAACTAAAATCAAGTTATTGGCTATATGACAACTACCTCATATATTTAAAATATTATCAAAACCCTTTGGATTATTTTTATCAAAAATTAAGAAGAAATGTAAAAATATTAATTATTTAACACAAAATCACCAATGGAAAAAATGAAAAATTTTGTTGCTTTCAAATTAAATAAATCTAAAATAATTTTAGTTAAAAAAACAATAAAATGGTAGATAAATTAGAGACTATCTAATCTGCATGCTGCTATTCCTAATATTTAATTAAGTTATTCATGATCTGTTTTCAGCTGCAATTCTATTGGTTCAAATCGTTTTTAAAGTATTTCGTTCCACATATGAATGTATGTATTCAGTATACTTATTCATTAATTTCAGTCCAATATGAATTACAAATGAAACTAACAAATATTATTTTAAAAATAATATTATGATAAAAAATGTGTATGCCATTATATTCTAAGAATAAAATCTTGTATTCTGAGATTGTTACCCTCTAAAAGTACCATCGACCAAGATAAGTAAGGGAAATATAAATTTAGCTCTCAAAACATGCCTACTCTATTTTTTTTTTTTTTTTTTTTTTTTTTTTGTTACTGGTGCATTGTGTGAACTGCATACAAGTTTTGTTTTTAAATAATATTAGTCAAACGTTTTCTTGGAGAAAAAAAATTAAGAATGTTTTGCTATATAAAGTAATTTTATGTTGTCAACACTTCTTGTACTATAGCTACCTCATTAAACTGATTATCTTATCATCGATTGTGGTGCTAATACAAGTCCTTCTGTGAATAAATTTGTATGACACTTTTAATTTTAATTTTTACAGTAAACATTTTTAATGATTTTATGAACTGAAAGAAAAATGTTATCAAATTTTCTAACATTAGTAAATTTTCCTTTCACTTGTGTGAAAAATACCACATAGGTTTATGACCAGTAGGTAGTGGCATGCTCAGTAGGTTATGTGTTAGTTGTATGTTTTAAATGACGTCATTAATTTTTAATTATTATTTTAGTTTTTTTATGTCTATATTCTAGTTTTTCTAAATTTATAGTACAGATTTTAAAATGATTAGTATTCTTCCCTAAACGAAATTCAAACAAAACAGTTTTTTGAAGTTAATTGCTTAAAAGTATTTAAAACATTGTTTAGTGAGATTTTTACATTATCCAATTGTCATTTGAAAACGGTCATGCCTCGAAAAAAAAAAAAAAAAAAAGAGAAGAAGATGGCTTAAATTTAATAAAAATGAATTCAGACATCTTCCAAATTTAAAGACAAAAATATTATTAATTCTTTTTTATTAATTTTTATGTTATTTATATTATATTATAGCATCAGAACAAACATAAAGTGCAGTTTCTTTAAGTATTTTAGTATTTAATTTTCTTAACTTCTTGTCAATATTAAGAGAAGAAAATGTATAAACAAAAGAAAAAGTAACTTTTTTGGTAGTTTAAAAGTTTATCATTCCAGCTACACTCACTCCACAATTAAATGTGTGAATTTGTATGAAAAAAAATCATGGCAATTTTCACCCAAACGGAAAGAGACCATTGTTTTCTACCTCTCACATGAACAGTAATTCAAAAACACAAATGTTGGCTATTCTCATCCTGGTTAACAGTATATAGAAATAGAAAAATCATCTTTATTCTGGGACAAAGTCCCTTAATAATAACAATATTGTTCATAGTCAACAAAATATTGTTGTAAATAATCAACAAATTGGGCCAGGAGACCTATTACAATAAAGAGTAACTAAAGCATAAATAATAGGACAAGTCTATACATAGTTCTGGAGATCTGTTAACAAAAACAGATTAGAATTAGGGTTATAATACTGCAATATAGCTGTTAAAAATAATAAAATTAAAATAACTAAATGATATTAGACAGAAAACTTCAATTAATTTTATAGACAAACCAATGTGGTGATATAAGAAAAAAAAACTAACTGAAGTAAAAAATTATTTACATCTGTTCCTTAAAATATTTAAATAAAGATTCATAATGGTATTGTAAAAAGATAGAAAACTACTGTATTGTGCATATAAAGACATTGATTGACAGTAAAACAAACATAGATATATACACATATATATGCACATATCCATACACCCACTCACACACATATGCATATATATATATATATATATATATATATATATATATATATATATATATATATATATATATATATATATATGCACATATATACATATATATATATAGAGAGAGCATGTCCACGATTAATAAAAAATGAATTACATCTTAACGTCTTAAAGAGATAGAATCACATAAATGAGAAGATTAAAAATAAAAACAAACTGAACATACTCAAAATTCTTTGTGAGAAGTTATGGGAAATCTTTTCCATATTCATAACAGAAAGTATAAAAAATTACAAAGAAAATAGAAACTTTGTTACATAATAAATAAATAGGCAGCGTCTGATTGAATTGTGAAGAGGAATTGGAATATGAGCGTTTTAAATGTGAATAAGGATGGTGCATAGCGAATTTTAAGCGGGATGGAATTCCAAAATACAGTAGAACAGACAATAAAGTTGTATTTAAATGAGGAGGATCTGTGTAAAGGGGTATAAAGGTCAGAAGGCCAAAACTTGTAGAGAGGGAGTGAATGGAAGACTTGAATTGGAGGATATTGCATGCACAGAATGGGCGATGGTTATTGATTATTTGATAAAGGAATGTGCCTAGGAAAATTGTCTTCGGAAGGAGGAGAAGAGCCATACTAACTCAGAATAGCAGTGAGAAACACAGGAACATCTAGGGGTCCCATTAACAAATCTTACGAACCCATTCATAATTATTTTCAGTCTGTCTCCGAGTTCCGCAGAGAGGCCACCGTACACCATGCAACCGTAGTCAATGTGAGGGAAGATACTAGGAGTCTACATGTGGGTATGGGTGGGAGATGGCGGAAGCGATGGAATAGTATCAAGGTACCAATTGATGGTCGGGAGATGTGGGAAATATGTTGATTCCAGGAAAGGGATTGGTCAATGAAAATGCCTAATTTTTTAATTGAAGTGCTGAAGGTGATAGGATGGTCATTTATGTACGGAAAAGGAGTGTTGATTTGGATCTTAGCAGGGGTTTGAAACCAATGATAATGGCTTGAGTTTTGGCAGTGGTTAGCCTTAATCAATTTAAGTTTGCCAAGGTACAGATGGGATTTAAGTCTTCTTGAATTTTGGCAAACGCATCCTGAAGCTCAGAGGGAGAGAAGGAAAGGTAAATTTGGAAATCATTGGCATAGAGGTGATGGGAACAGTGAAGGATTGAATTATGAAGGTCATTGATTGCTGGGACCCTGGGCCACTCCTGAGGACAGAGTAAGATAGGAAGACAAAGGTTGATTAGGAATAGCAACTGCTTGGGTATGTTGAGAAAGAAAAGATTGGAACCAAAGGACAGAAATGTTAGAAAAGGACAATGATTTTAATTTGGAAAAAATAATGGAATGGTTGATGGTATCAAAGGCTTTGGAAAAGTCAAGGAGTACTAGGACAGTTAGTTTTTTTGTCATCTATAGTGGAATGAATATCACTAATGATTTTGATTGAGGTGGATTATGTGGAGTAACCTGGTCGAAAACCAGATTGGTAAGAATCAATTTGATTGTGCTGTTCGAGGAAATTAGAAACTTGGGATTGCACTAATCTTTCCAGGGGTTTTGTAGGAAAGGGGTTTAGAGAGGATTGAGATTGGACAGAAAGCTTTGGGGAAGTACGGTTAGAATTTTTATTTAAAGGACTGACGATGCATTTCTGCCAAGGGGTAGTAAATACTGAGTTCTGAAGGGATAAATTATAAATGAAAAGGAGAACGGGAAGAATTTCAGGGAGGCATAATTTGATCAATTTGGCGGGAATGCCATCTGAACCAACGGAATTAGAATGGGCTTTCATCACAGCGGATATGAGGTCTATGGGAGAAATATCTGAAAAATAGAAGTCGTCTTCATTAAAAGATATTCCAGGAGGAAACAGAAAGAAGTTAGTGATGGGATGGAGGCAGATATAAAATATGAATTTAAATCATCAGGTGATACTGGAAAGACTGCCGATGAAGGTGATCTAGAAGGTTCACAAAGAGAGAGTTTACGGAGGAGTAGCCATATGGATTTGGGATCAGGAGCTGAGGAGATGGCTCCATGGAAATAAGTGGATTTGGCTCGTCGGATTCTGGTTTGTGGCAGGTTGTGAAGCACCTAAACCTTAATAGTCGTTAGCAAGCCTAGTATGTCTAACGCGTCTATCAGCGTCACGTCTCCTTTGAAGATCCTTAATTAGCTGAAACATCCAGGGAGCAGGACAGCGACGAAAGGTGGAGGGTTTGAGGGGGGTGCGAGTATCCAATATATTTAGGAGGTTGGAGGTAAAGATGTCAACCATGGAGTCAGTTGAAGAAAAGGAATGTATTCTATTTCAATTTAGGGTTTCCAGGTTGGGGAAGATTTTTTCTTGAGTAAGGCCATCAAGGTTCAGGAAAGTTATGGTTCTAGGTAGAATCGGAGGAAGAGTTTGTACATTATATGATATTTGGATTAGGTCATGAGAGGATAAAAAGGGGAGGGAAAAGAAGGTTTTGATAGGAGTCTATAAGATACATGTCCAACCAAGTGTCGGACCCAGAGATGTGATGATTGGAAGCAAAAGGAACGATGAAAAGATGAAGGGAGAAGAACAGGTTTTCGAGGCATGATTTATCGTTGGGGTCAGAAAGGAAATTAGTGTTTAAGTCACCGGGAATAATAATTTTGGAATAAAGAGGAACAAAGTTGAAGAGGGATGATTCGAAAGATAAATCAAAGGGAACATGAGGAGGACAATATACTATGGTATATAGGATAGTAGAGACATTACAGGAAATCTCAACGATAAGGAACTCTACTTGTGGGCACTAGCGGATCCAGGCGAGGGACGTGTCTTCCACCCTGGAAGTTGGAAAAAATTCCAAAAAGCAGATATTAAAGAAAAGAGAAATATAGGAAAAATTCATCCGTATGACGAATTTCCTAATGTAATATTAAAAATAATTATTATCATGGCCATTTTTAATAAGGTTTGTCATATCATGTCACTTCAAGATTTTTTTAAAACAAAGAATAGAATGTAAGAGCAAAAGTTGGCTAGTAGGGTGAAGAGGTGTAGTTTTTGGGCCGCCGTGAGCTACGAAGGCTTGTGCTCCTGTCGCAGTTTGTTCCCGACTCCGAACTGAATCTCGCAGGTGAAATACATGACGGAGGAAAACTAATTAAAAAAAAAAAAAAAAGAACTTTATTTAGTCTTTCTAAAAACCTATTATTCGAGAACAAGAAAATACCGTTTTTCTCCCAGACCCAGTTTTTATTCAGTTCCAATAGATCTGGACGCATTGCAACCTACAGCAACTATAGTCTCCTTGCAGAATCCATGTAATTATTAAAAATAGTCACGATAATAATTTGTATATTTTTCACGAGAAAGTGTTGTTC